GTATGCCGCCATGCTGTGCAAGGCAATGATACCGGAGTACTTGATGATAGCCTGGCGTGGAAACCTTTCATACTACGGAGGACACAACAAGGCCGCTCTCCCAAGGAACCTCATGCAAAGGCTTTCCAATTACCTCCAGGAGAGCTTCCTGGAGATGTCCCATGAGGATTTCTGCTCTATCCCCGGACATATTGACCGAATTTTACTGTAGCTGCACTGGCAAGGGCTAAACAGTAGAGCGCCTAGGGCAAACCAATCAAGATATACCGGACATTGTTAGATTTTTTTGCAGCAGTTGCACTGCCACAGACTAAACCTTTAAGTGCCTAGGACAATCTAATCATGAAAAACCCACAGTTAATATTAATATTCTTTTCAAAATAAATGTTTACATGTTTAAACCACTTACCGGCTGATCCTTCCCCTGATTCTGGGTCCGGGTTAACGCCTGGGGACGGTTGGTACGGGATCTCTGTGAGGGTGATGAAGAGATCCTGGCTGTCTGGGAAATCAGCGTTGTAAGCGCTGTTGACTGCCTCGTCCTCCTCATCTCCTTCCTCATCTTCCCCATCCATTACCATCTCAGAGGAAGCGGGCGTGGACAATATCCCATCCTCAGAGTCCACGGTCAGTGGTGGCATAGTGGTGGCGGCCGCACCTAGGATGGAATGCAGTGACTCGTAGAAACGGCATGTCTGCTGCTGGGATCTGGAGCGCCCGTTTGCCTCTTTGGTCTTCTGGTAGCCTTGTCTCAGCTCCTTGATTTTCACGCGGCACTGCATTGCATCCCGGCTGTATCCTCTCTCTGTCATGGCTTTGGAGATCTTCTCGTAGATCTTTGCATTCCGTCTTTTCGATCGCAGCTCCGAAAGCACGGACTCATCGCCCCACACAGCGATCAGATCCAAGACTTCCCGATCAGTCCATGCCGGGGCCCTCTTTCTATTCTGAGATTGCATGGCGATCTCTGCTGGAGAGCTCTGCATCGTTGCCAGTGCTGCTGAGCTCGCCACGATGTCCAAACAGGAAATGAGATTCAAACTGTCCAGACAGGAAAAGGAATTCAAATTTTCCCGGGGCTTTTCCTGTGTGTCTGGTCAGAGCATCCGAGCTCGGACTGCTGTCCAGAGCGTCAACAGAGTGGTGCACTGTGGGATAGCTCCAGGAGCTATTAGCGTTGATTTCCATCCACACCTACCCTAATTCGACATGGCCATGTTGAATTTAGCGCTACTCCCCTCGTTGGGGAGGAGTACAGAAGTCGAATTTAGGAGACCTCTATGTCGAACTAAATAGCTTTGTTGTGTGGACGGGTGCAGAGTTAATTCGATTTAGCGCTGCTAAATTCGACATAACCTGCTAGTGTAGACCAGGCCTCAGAGAGGGAAGCATTATATCATTGATTAATGTCCATGTGAATATGACAGTTCTATTACAGGAGGTAAATAAAAAGTGTCGCATATAAATAAAAAGGTGATACATTTAATGTTTGATAGTTAATAGGCTATTTATCGGTATTAATTCTCACTGTGCCGCAGTTTATCCATCTTTAAAGTGGAGAGAATACCTGTCTGCTCCACACTGGTTTTTGTGACTAGACTAAATGAACATCTGTACTTACTTTCCTGCACAGAAAGAAGCAGAATCATTTATTACATGACCTCAGGTCTGGCAGATAAGGCTCTTTACCAGCCACTGCTTGCAGAAGCTGTGGGCACAAATTAGGCCAAGCACTTGTGGAGATAACAACTCCCAACACACCAGACACCTGAACCCTTTGAGGAAAAACCCCTCCTAAGAATCCAGCCACGACAATCCATCTCCTTCCCCATCCAAGTTCTGGAACACTCCTGAAACCTCTGTGACAGCAGCTCCATGGCAATAATTTCTACTTCAACAGTTTCCTTGTAATCACTGCAGAACCATGCACCTCTGGCTTTCAGAACAGCTACGGCAGGGCACTAATGTTTAGCTGGACTCACGTCTTGATCACACCCATCGTGTTTGGCAATCTCATGTGTGGTGCTTTCTGGCAAGAATGTAGAAATCACATCAGATACAAATTAAGACCCACAGCAGCAGAGACCGATGCTTAATTGTATGTTTTAAAAAGCCAAAAGAGAGACACTCTTGCTACAGCATTTCATGTAGCATACCACACTAAGGGAATTAGAGTGAATGACAAAGGAACTTAAGGTAACTAAGCCCTTTTGTACCTAGTAGTATTACATATCTACGTAGTATGTGCTAAGTAAAGTTTGAGATATCACATCCATGGAGCAGTTTTCTTTTTAAAAGTAAGATCCGTTAACCTGTAGCCAGTAACACAAAATGTCTTAAGACCCTATCAGTGTTTTTTAGTAGTTAGAGCAGAGGTGTGAAAGTCAAAACATGAATTCACTTCCCACCTCTGTCACTGACTTCCCTGACACCACTTACACTCACTCCACCAAAATGAGGTGAATAATAATTAATTACTTCACAAGGGTGTTCTGTTGTTTAATTAATGTTTGGCACTTCAATATTTGATGATGAAAGGATCAGAAAGAGTTAATTAGGGTATTGCTTTAATATCTGATATTTAGAGCTGTTGTCAATTTATAACTATAAACGTATTTGTACAATGTATGGCTTGATGAAAAAGATATATAATGCTTTTCTTCAGCAGGTACTTTACTTCAAAAGACAAAGTAGATCACTGAAATATTATCTGTAGTCAGTCCCTGGGGCACAGATGTTAAGCAATTTCTACAAGTCACAGTCAGTCGAAGCAGAACCATAAAAAGAACCCAGATCTCCTGAGTCGCCTGTTCTATCCTCCTCTCTCTAGCTACCTGTCATGTGATGAACTACACCTTCTGTGATGGACTACTTTTACTGAACCAGGGCTGCAGACAGACACCAGAGATGCCGGCTGTTAGCCAAGCATGGGAAGCAGAACTTGGGATCTTCAGCTCCAAAAATAGGCCTCTGTCACTTGAGCACAAAGAGAATTACCACCAGTTCTCCCTAAACTTGGAGCTTGTATTTATCTTTTTGGGCTAGTCTCTAGAGAGGGCACATAGTCATAAACAAATGGGCAGGGCAGGCAGGGATGCACACATATATAACAGCCACTACATCACTGGGAACGTGCTGCACCCAATTCCCTCACACAGCTCTGTAAACATCAGCCCAGGGTTTCAGCCACACACATGGCCCGGTGAGTCCCACCTGCCTCCAGCACTCTGTGTAGTGGGAATTCCTGGGCCAAACCCACGCTGGCGCCGTCTAATGTGCAGGGACCAACGGAGTTTCCAGGTCAGCTCACACGATGTTAGAAGCGTGGCTAGAAGAGAAAACACGTCCGGGCATGAGCTGGGACGGATGCCCTGGCTGCCTCCTTGTAACAGTCCCTCTGTACGTCCTCCTGGGACTCTCTTGGCCGCTTAGACCGCTCTGCTTCTCCCCACGCCCCTGAGCTGGCTCTGTCTACCCAGCTCGCCCCAGGAAGGGGAAGCAAAGATTCTGGCATTGCTTCCCCTCCCACCCCCAGGACTCTGCACCAGTTAGATCCAGTTTGGGAGGCAGACGATCCCAGTTCCCTGAATAGGTGGTGTAACACCACATCCAACCCTTGTGACCAGATACCCTCTTAGCACTGGTGCCATCTTGCTCCCCAGCCACCCCTCCTCCCTCGCCCCCAGGGTCTACTAAAGTGTCTACTAATTCTGGATGCCCAATTTGAGATGGTTTTCCAGAGTGCTTAGCCTTTCCATAGCTCTGTCTACGGTCAAAGCCCAGCTGCCCTTGACCTCAATCACGGTTGGGAGTGTGCAGCACCTCTGCAAATCAGACCCAAAGTCTCAAATCAGACACCCAGAAAATGAGAAACCCGGAGTTAGTGATCCACTAGGAGAACGATGGGTTAAGTGGCTTACATCACATAGGCAGAGGCAGGGATAGAATCCAGTTCTCTGGGGCAGCATTCACACCACAAGACGCTCTGTTCTTTTCCTTCAGGCCCCTGCCTTATGCTCTACAAACCTTCCAATCCCCCGTAATTAACTGGAGCCTGGACATAGTGGTCGAGGGGGAGGGCCTTTAGTTTTGGGTAGGCCTAAACACACCCTTCAAATAGTGCACACCTTCCAACTTCTACCATCAATGAGGCCAGAGGTCCTACAGACAACAGCCTCTATCACTACACAACCCTGATTCATCCCTGAGCAGGTCCAATCTGGGCATTGAAAGACCGGGTACAAATTGTCTGTGATCATGGAATTAAAGATCCTAATGCATATGCAAAAGGGGACTGAATTAAGATTACACAGGCAACCTTAATGCTGGCATTTCCTATCTTTTTGAGGGTTTGATTGTGGAAACATAAAGTTCTTTTAGTGTAGTTTGAATTTTCTGTAACGCTTTTGTTTGGTTTCTCTACGTACAGTGTATTTCTAATCAAAAGCCTTTGAAATTGTACTCTTGCTAAAAGCTGTCCTTGGAATCTTTCTTTGTTGACACATCTTTTAAACAAGTTGTCTATCCATGCAAGATTTACTAGTGAGGTTTATCTTGAATAGATTTGTGGTAACAAATAAATTGGGGAGGGGGGTGGATTTCTGATAATTTTTCGCCATTTTTCATCGCAACTGAACTTTTATGAACCAGTGGATAAACGTTAAGTGCTGCACAGATACATCGTATGCTCATGCATCTAAAAGTTATGTGCCGTACACATAAGCTTGATGGGCCATGTGTGTAAAAGCACAATGGGTGTATGCTTGTAAAATAGATACACTCTGTGTGCATAAGCATGTGTACAAATAAGCATGATTCATAGATTCTAGGACCATTATCTAGTCTGATCTGGCTAGAACTGGCCAGAGAATCTTATCTAGTAATTTTTCCATCAATCCCATAACTTCTTGTTAGAGCGATAGCATAGCTTTTAAAAAGACTTCTAGTCTTGACCCAAAGATTGCAAGTAAAGGACAGTCTGTCCTATCCCTCGGTCAGCTGTTCCAACAGTTAGTTCTGCTCACTGTTAAAATCTGTGCCTTATTTCTAGCCTAAACTTGTCTTGCTTCAGGTTTCAACCCCTGGATCTCATTCTGCCTTTTTCTACTGGATCAAAGAGCCCTCTCTGGTCAGAAATCTCCTCCTTCTAGAGGAGGTCCTTATAAACCATGATTAAGTCACCTCTTAGCCTTTGTTGGATAAGTGAGATAGATGCAGCTCCTTTAGTCTCTCGCTCTAGGGCGGGATTTCCTGACTGTGGATCATTCTCGTGCAGAACTGGTCAGGAACTTTATGACCAAACAGGTTTTCTTCAGAAAATGCCGACCGGCCAAAACCAAAACTTTTCATGGGAATGAACCAGTAACAACACATTTTTTGTTGAGATAGTTTTCTTAGATCCAGGATGGAATTTCTGGCCAAAACCAGAAAAAGATCTGCACCAGAATAGCCAAGAGCCTGGTGGGGAGGGCAGTCACCTGGGATGCTGGAGAACGACAGAGCGGAGACTTGAACAGGGGTCATCTATTTTGCAGGCAAGTGTCTTAACCACCAGGCTACTGGGTATTCTAGGGAGAAGTTTTCTCTCCATGAAACACTTTGAAAGGTCTTGGTTTTGTCTCAATGCGGAATGGGAAATTTTTTTAAATCTTGAGAAGTTTTGCAGGACAGGAAATATTTCCCGTCCACCTCTTCTCTTGTAGCTCTTTTCTGAACCTTTTCAAGTTGTCAGCATCTCTTTTTCAAGTGTGGACCTCTGAACTGGACCCAATACCAGGAATGAGCTCATAAATGCCATACATTGAGATAATACCATCTCCGACTTGACATTCCATTACTAATACTGATGCTGATGGGTCATGCACATAAACCTGGGAAGTATTAGCGCCATTGTATAAGGCATTGGGAAGACTTCATCTGGAATACTGTGTCCAATTCTGGTTACCCCTGCTCAGGAAAGATCAGTTCAAACTGGAACAGGTGCAGAAGATGGGTGTGAGGATGATCAGGGGGAATGGAGCCTATCTTATGAGCAGAGACTGAAAGAGCTTGGTTTCTTTAGCTTCAAACAGAGAATGAGAGGGGATATGATTGCCCTCTGTAGATGCATCAAGGACTAAACATCAGGGAGCGGGAGGAGCTATTGAAACTAAAGGACAATGTTGGCACCGGAACAAATGGGGATAAAATGGACATGAACAAATTTAGGCTCGAAATTAGTAGGAGATTTCTAGGGGAGTGACGTTTTGGAAGGAATGAGGGCAAACAACCTAACTAGTGTTAGATGGAGCTTAATACATTTATGACCGGAATTATAGGACATGTTGGAGGTCCTGTCCAGTCCTATGCCCCTAGATATGATAGACTATGTGCAAATAAGCTTGAGGGACTAGGTGAACATATAAGATTTCTCTGTCAGGGTCTATGCTATTCCATCTGATTTTACCCTACAATGGGAAAGAGGTTTGTTGATGTCCTATTGCTGATGAATAAAATAATCTGTCATCAGGGGCTCTCCTACTAAAATTACATTTTAATTTAAATGAAAAAATCACAAAAGAAACACATTTTGTTTCAAAAAATTTCTGGGAATTTTTTCAAAGAAAAAATTCAAATTTTTTAATTCCATTTCAAATGCAAACATTTTGTTTCTTTTTGTTTTTTTACTCCTCCCTTTTTTCCCATTTTTCCAGTAGAAGCGGAACAGAAAGGGATGAAATAACCAAACGGGAAAAAATGGCCTCCAAACAAAATAACCTTTTTAATCATGTTTCAGTTAGGTTAGTTTCGAACATTTTCCCTAAATTACCCAAACAATTTTGACCAAAGCAAAAATTGTCCATGGAAATTTCTAGTTTGGTCAAAAAGACATTTACAATTAAATGGGTTGACTCTATTCTCCCTTTTATTCCCTTCATAGACCAATTCCAACTTTTTGCCCAGCCTCCGACCCATTAATAAAAACCTAGGAAATTAAATCACAGAAAACTTTATTGTAAAGCAATTAGAGTCGATGAAACCAGCCCAGTTAAACCATCAGATGTATGCAGAGCTGACGTCGTGATGTATTAGAAAGAGCAGGTCACTTACCATCTAGAGAAGCATCTTGCCTTTGCGCGTCAGTCACTGTGGACAGAATCAAAAAAGATGGAGAAGCCCCATTGAACCCCCTTCTACTACAGCCTGCTAGTCCCAGGACAGGATTGTCCCTACACTCTGCTAGTACCCAGGGTTTATACAACAGCCCAACTCTGTATCCCAGCTACAAGCAGTCATTGCTAGGCACTGACTGAACAAGCCGCATCTGCAGAGCCACTCACCATTCTAAAAAGTCCCTGGCCTTCCAGGCGTCGATGACCTCGGCGATGCTCCCCACGATTTTCCCGCTGGGCAGCCGCAGGTCATCGGAGACGTCGCCGTTGAAGTTCCCACAGGGTGCGCACAGCTTGTTAGCCAGGATCTTGTCCACCCTCAGCGTCACCTCCCCACTGGGGCTGAACAGAACTTGCATCCCCGAGGCCTGGACCACGGCCACGCCGCCCTGAGACTTGATCACAGACACAGCATCGGAGACTTTTGCCGGGAGCTGCACTGAGCGCCCATTCACCTGGAAAGCACAGATGGAGAGGTCAGGGGAGAGCAAGGGTGGCAGGTTTGTAGAAATTTTGGTGGTGCCCAGAACCCACCCCTCCAAAACTCTGCCCCTGCAATCTCCACCCCCCACCTGCCTAAGGCTCTGTGAGGGAGCTTGGGTGGGGGGAGGAGGTCTGGGGTGCAGGCCCTGGGCTGGGGCTGGGGATTAGGGTACAGGAGGGGTGC